CCTGGTTCTGGAACGAGGAAGTCCAGAGGATCGTCAAGCAGAAGAAGGAAGCATACAAACGCTGGCAAAAGACACGGAGCCCAGAAGACTACGCTGCCTACAAGAGCTGCAAGCGACTCGCTAAGGCGGCCGTTGCTAAGGCCAAGAATACGGAAATGGACGCCCTGTACGACAAGCTGGAAGGCCGAGAAGGGGACAAGTTCGTCTTCCGCCTGGCTAAAGCTCGGCATCGCGCAGCTCAGGACATCAGGGTCGTAAAGACTGTGAAGAGCAGCAACGGGGCCATTCTCAGGAACGCCGAGTCAGAAGAGAGTGAGGAAGAATACTTCGAGGACTTCTGACGAACAATTCCCCGCAAGGGAACCCACAGATAGACGGCGACGGCAGTCTATCCCGTCACTCCCGGACGAAGGATAAGTTCGCGGAGATCAGGCGAGAATGAAGCTCGTGAAAAGCAGTGGTCCAGACGGGTACCATAGAGGCATGGAAAGCCTTGAGAGCAGGGCGTGAGGCTACGTACTTCCTAAACAATGTAACAGCAGAAGGAAGGATGCCGAAGGTGGAAGGAGCAGCCACGAATTGTCCCATCTTCAAAACAAGAAAGGGGACGCGACGGAGTGCTCCAACTACCGCGGGATCAAGCTGACTCCCCATACCATGAAGCTGTACGAGCGCCTGGTCAACACTAGGCTGAGGGAAACTTGTCCCTATCTCGCAGGAACAGTTCGGCTTCATGCCCGAGAGGTCCACCACCGATGCCATCTTCATCGCCAGACAGCTGATGGAGAAGTACCGAGAGAAGCGGCGACCTGCTACCTAGCCTTCCTGGACCTTGAGAAGGCATTCGACCGCCTGCCAAGGCCTGTACTCTGGAGAGCGCTCAGAGAACGTAACGTTCCGGAACACCTCATCTCCATAGTGAAGGACATGTACGATGGGGCTAAAGCAGCTGTACGCACCCCTCACGGCTTGACAAAGGAGGTAAACATTACGGTTGGGGTACACCAAGGGTCAGCCCTCAGCCCGTTCCTCTTCCTCCTGACTGTAGAACGTTGCATGGCAAAAAGTAATCATGGAGGACCCTGAATAACCATCCTCTAGGCGACGACACTCGACCCTGATAGCGAGATAGAGGGAGAATTCAGGCAAGTCAGCGGTGCAGATGTGCTCGCTGCGAATGCGACCCGAGCTGAAACGAAAGAAACCAGTTCCTAAGCTCCGAAGTAAAAAGCCCGAAGTTATTCGTGATCGCATGGCGAGAGACATCGAAAGGTCGAGGATTTCAATATCTGGGGAGCAACCTAGCAGCTGAATGCGCAGGCCTGACCGGCGGTGCGGCCCGAATATCAATCGCCGCCTGAATGAAATGGAGGGAGTCCACTGGCATCCTGTGCGACCGGCGGTGCTCGAGAACGCTCAAGGGCAAGGTGTACCGGGCTGTGGTAAGGCCTACAATGCTCTCTTACAGGCATGTGAGTTGCTGCCTAGCTGCAAAACCGATGAAAGGCAGCTCACTCAGCTGAAATGAGGATGCTGAGATGGGCCTGCGGCTGGACACGACTCGACAGAGTCAGAAACGAGGACGTCAGAGCAGTCACACAGACGGCTCCTATCCAGCTGAAGGCACGAGAGCAGCGACTGCGATGGTACGGTCATGTACTGAGGAGGCCCGAAGACCACCCAATAAGGAAGGCATTGGAACTCGAGGTAGAGGGCAAGCGACCACGAGGAGCCCAAAGAAAAGATGGAGGGACGTCATCAAGAGGGACCTCACTGAAGTGAAAGCCACAGCAGAAGATGCAGTGGATCGGAACAAGTGGCGACGTCTAATAAGATCAGCGGACCCTGCGACGGCGCGGGACTAACGCTAGGGAAGAGCAAGAGAAAAGCAAGAAGATGTGTGAATAAAACCACTTTTTTATACTCGACGCCGCGCTCGTCACTCGATAAAAAAGACGTACGGCCACGGCGCCGGTTTTCGGCGAAGACGTCACAGGCTACGCAACGGGTATTTAACAATTGCATTTCAAAAATACCAGTAAGTGTTAGAAACCTGAGAGGTAATTTAACCTTGGTGTTCAGCACCCAAGGCCATGAGTTCTCATGGAATCTGCCATATGTTCGGCTGTCAGCACACGGAGTGTTCGATTCGGTGACATTTTCTCGATGAACACCTGAACAATTGACATTATACTCCACTGGCAACCACTCCGCTTTGCTTTTACGAAAAAAGTACAGCTGCCTTTATGTAGGCAGTAATTGAATTTGCGACAACTTCCATCCGAGTATCGCCATCACTTTTTTACCACATCCAAGCTCTGCCAATGAACAGTTCGTAACATTCTCAATGGGCTCACGCCCATACTCAAAATAGAGAGGCTTAATATTTTTATCCTTTCTTGAAGGCCTCTTTATATACTCACTACTGCGCGGATTCCCAAAAGCAGCTTGGTTTCGCAGCCGAGCCTTATAGGACTCCCGCCCGCCACTGAAAAAAATTTAAAAAGATTATAACTGCCATGTAATTTCCCCAATACAGTGAGACAGTGCAGTGAAACATATAAAAAACCGCCGTAAAAAATTTTCTCAGATGAAACTTCGACCCCTTTTCACCTCACCCCAACTCCACGATCAAATACGACACCTCTCTGGGACTCTACAAACAGCGTGCTCTGCTCCCAAATGCAGCTCGAGTTGGCGGTTACATCGGTCCAAGAACTAACAGTGGAGCTCGCTCGATCGATTACGCAAAATTTAGGAATCGCTCGAGTCGCAAAGTATAAACGTGGTCTCAGTTTTCAGAGATTGAGGTAGAGAAGCTACACAGCGGAAATCAACTGGCAAACTTACCGCTGTTCAGCTAATGTGGCCATTTTACTGTATGCGTGGCGATCATGAAGGGTTACGGCGGTCAAATCATAGAAGGTCTTTTGAAGATAGCAGGAAACAAATTCTGAAAACAACAAAACCAAATTTCCAGTCAGGTCAGGCTTTCCACCTCTCTATAGCCAGATCATTAGCAGCAGATGCTTTGTGAAAAAGCAATGCGCGTCAACTTCCCCCTTGTCAATTGTTCAAATCAAAGCAGCTCCAAATGCGCTCTGTGTTGAAAGAACATGCGTGGCGCATCTCAAGAATAAATGAATCAAACCGAGAAACAGTTTCATTTAAGGCACAGTCCACACTGATCGTATAGGTGGAGACAGGCAACCACTTGTCTTTCTCACTCGTGCACCCCTCGCCTTCGCTCAGGGGTGCAGGGTAGCATAGGCCAAAAAGTTTCATAGATGACCCGCGGTAAAACATTCCCAAGGCTAGGAGCATGCCCTGCACCACTGCTTCCGCCGCCACGAAAAGGTGAAGACACTCCTCATAGCAGCCATTTGTGTGCAATGGGTGGGGGGCTTTAGTTCCAGTCGCGGCACGGTAGTACGAGTTGTCTTGAGGGTTAGAGCCAACTCGTACTGCGATGCCACGACTGGGAAGTAACGCTGCACACTTGTTTGCAGGTTCCCATGACAATATCACTCTAATGGTGGAAAAACTCCTGTCGTTCAGCTTTTTGGGTAATATCGCTTACTTGCTCTTCGTGACTCGACCTTATCAAACGAGTTGCTCTTCAAAAGAACGGGATACTACCCTCGTTGGTCCTGTATTGATAAGATACCTGGATTGAATGGAGTAGATATCTATCCAGTCCTGGTGTCCTACCCCGTCGCTCCGTGCGAAATAAAGCTTAAAGGCCGTTGGCACGATTAACTCCTAAGAAAGAGTAGGGATACGCCTGGCAGGACGGAATTCCGCGACACTGAGCAGGGGCTGCGTAGCGCCTTTTTGAGGGAAGGTACCCTTATAAGGGCTCTATCAAGCTACAACATACCGACCCGAACGCCCACCACGCCCGCCCGCCCACAAATGGACGACCGTACCTGATGCTCGTATTGCTTCATTTGCTAAGTGATATAAATATGAAACGAAGACTGATATGAAGCGGCTGCGGTGCTGCATGG